CCATTCACTGCAGAGGATCCATTGGTGAGCAAATGATGTAATGCTCAATTTCTCCAAACCTGTTCTGATTAAAAACAAACTCATTTACATCTTAGATGGCCTGAGGGTGAGTAAATTGTCAGCAAATGTTCATTTTAGGATTTAAAGGTGTCATATGATTGAATTCCTCAAGCGTGTGACGGAAATGTTACGTCCCTTACCATTTTGTGATGCCTGCGGCAACCACATGTGATGACCCCGGACTGGACTCCGCTCTATGCACCAAGAGCTTGTAACACTTCAAAGAGAAAGGAAAAATTGAAATCGCATCATATGACCCCTTTAAGAATGTTCAAATATTTGTACTACAAAACAAGACAAATGTAAAGGAAAGTAGGAAAAGTAGGAAAATCATTTTATGCATCTATAAAAGTTGTTCATTCAGTCTTGCCTGTCTTCCCTCTGAGCACCTCAGCTATACAAAGGAAAAGATTTCAGAATTATATTATCAACTTTTTACAAATAATTTACTTAAAATATATAGATATACTATATATACACTGTTCAAATGTCTGAGTCAAGCAACACACTGTAGAGGAGTGAAAATGGAGGCGTATGTGATCTAGGTGGGCTTAAGATGGCTGTCATATTGGAGAGGGTGGGCAGGTGGAAATGAGCAGTCCTGTGCTTGCACTATAGTCAATATTTCAAAGCTTCAGGTAGTTTTCACTCCCCTTCTCACACACACACATATCTTGGCTCTGTGGGACTGTTTCACACTCTGCCTCTGCATTCAAAGACAGGCAGACTCACACACATTACAATAACACCATTTCTCAATTTCCTCTCCCACTTGTTCCCGCTTATATAACATGACTGACACATTGTTGCTTTGTGTTGCCACCTCTTCCCAGTCTGAATGCTTTTTTTTTCTTCAATGCATCAATCAGATCCCTCGCTGAAGATCTAAACTTTTCATTAGTTTCGATGGCTGCTCGTCTCTGAAACCGGCTGACTAGTTAAAAAAGGCAGATGAGAAGATGTTTCAGCAGTTCTGCTCACAGAAATCTGTAGTGAGAAGCACTTCAGTTCGAATCTCTATGGGGTTAATCACTATTTACTATAATCAGTAGTTAATGTGCACCTCTTAAACTTTAAATATATATTTTAAACACATTTGATCCATTTGTACATATTTCTTATAAAATAGCTATGACTTTTAAAAAACAACAACAATGATTTCCATGACATGTTCACACAAACTCTCACACCAGGACAAGATGCTGGGCCTAGACTCCATGACGGTATCGTATATATCAAAAACATGACACACATCCAAGCTCAACGGAGAGTCTCTTGTGATATTGCAGTCAGATGACCAAATTTAATTATAGAAACTCGTAAAGAATAAGCCAACTGAAAAGATGTCCCATCTTCTAAAACAAACCGGCCAGAACAGACTGAACTTTTGCTCTATCCTGGCATTTGCCATTGGAAAGGTCAATGCAGGGTTGGTCCACACAGGATGGCCTTTCAAACAGTGACTGGTTTCAAAACATCACAGAGGAGGATGAGCTGAAGTCTACCATGTAACAGGATTCTGGGGGTTAATCATGGCAAGACATGTCGTGGGTACGTCCCAGTGTCCCAGCATCATGGGACTCGCACGGTCCTATAGAGCCACATTGAACTCTGTGATCAAGAAGTCAATGTAGTCCTTCTCTTTGGTTTTAAAGGCCTCCGCGATGAGACGTGCGGCTTCCCGATGTTCCTTTCCTCTGAGAGACACTCCATTCACCTCTAGGATTACCTGACCCACCTTCAGCTGTCCACAGTTATGAGCCGAACCACCTCTCTGTGGGAAAGAGAATGAGAGATAGTTTGAGAAAATGAAGATGAATTGCTTTAATGTTTGAATCAGACCGGCTACATTCACATAGAAGCAGAATAGGCTTGTCAGTCCATTTTTGGTGCTAAATACAGTTGCAGGTACACAGGTTGGTAGATTTGTCTTGGAGTAGAAAGTCATATTGAATTTAGATTGAATATATGCCAATATATGCCATTTGTTTGTGCATTTCAACTGGGAAATCAAAGAAGGAAAAGCTAATTTGAAGGGCGTATACTCTATAGTTTTCGTGATTCAAATAAAATAAAACTAAAACTAAACAGAAATAAAAAACGAATAAAAATGACAAAAGTATTCAAATTTAAATGAAAACTGAAAATATAAAAAAATAAAACTAATTCAAAATAAATACGGTAACACTTTACAGTAAGGTTCCATTTGTTGACATCCATTAATTAACATTAACAAAGATGAATAAATACTGTATCAATAGTATTGCTCATTGTTAATGTTAGTTAATGCATTAAATATAGTTATCAAATGGAACCTTACTGTAAAGTGTTACCATAAACACTAATAAATACTATATAAATAATGCTAAAGTAACAATGAAAGGGATATTTCAGCCAAAAATGAAAATCCTGTCATAATGTATTCACCCAGATGTTTCAACCTGTATGACATTCCTTCTTCTGTGGAACACAGAAGATATTTTATAGAATGTTGTGGAGTAAACAACACTGGACTCCGTTGACTTTCATTGTATGGACACAAAAAAGTAATTTTTCAAAATGTAGTTTTTGTGTTCCACAGAAGAAAGAAAATCATAGGTTTGGAACAACGTGAGGATGAGTAAACGATGAGAGGATTTTAATTTTTGGGTGAACTGTCCCTTTAAGTGATAGTGCCAGCTCATTCAAATAATCCTGCAGCAGTCTCTGTGAACACTTGATAACACCAAAGAAATGTGTGTTGTCTTTGCAGTCAGAATTTCTGTACATCCATAAAAGTGTCTACAGACAATTCCGAACTGTAAACAATACGAAATATACTGCGGTGGTACATTTTAACCACCTTTGTTTCTCAGGATAAAATAAAATAAAAACTGAAAAGCCATAAGAACCTTACCTGGAATTTACGTAAACCCAACCAATCAGATTACAGATTTGAATTCTAGAAAGCAATTGCCTTTTTTGTGTGCAATATTCATCTGACAGTCCACATCATAACATTTTTTTTATCGGTTTTATTTTTACATTTTTGGGGGGATAATAATTTAGAGCAACAGATTTTAGGGTCCCTCAGCTTCCAAAATCCCAATTTAACCCTTTTAATCCTTGGCTTTAAACTACTGATCATACGTCAGTCTGCTTTAGTGAATGACAGCACTTGTGCAACAAGAAGTAGTAACTAATGGAGGCTAAAATGCAAGAGTCACCCACTTAGATCTCACCAGCACCTCGTCTTCTGTCATTCACCGCCTAAAAATGATGGAAACAAAAGAGCTCCACATTATCTAATCTACAGCCGCTTTTGTTGTTGGATTTTCATTATGATGCTGATGAACCAACTACAGCCGGGGAATTAAAACCCACTCATGCCCGTCCATTTCTCTCCTCCCCAGATGCACTTTCTAAGTCTCTCAATCGCTTGCATTTACTTCCTTTCTTCTAACTTACTTTCACTGTCTCTTATAATCTTATTTTTGCTTTCCTGTTCTCCTGCCCCTGTCTCTCAATCCTTTATTAAGAAGCTGCTGATTTGCTGCTAAATCAACGGTAATCAGCGGCACTGTAATTTCAGATTCGTCTTTCACAGCCGAAGCCGTCCCCTCCTTAAAAAGCACATAATTTCCTCTCCAGCGCAGTCGCACGTAAAAACACAGAAAGCCTTTCACATATAAACTCGCTCTACAAATTGCACACTGAGCCAGCAGCGTTCCCACAAGCCTGTTCAACAGAGTGCTTGAGATTTTAAGTACTAGAAAAGACAGAACCAGGAATAAAACACTGCCACAATGGCGTCAAACATCAACACCTGCTTCCTGCGCTACAGCTGCCCACAACTGGAGGTCTATAACATGCTCCTGCGCTCATTATGTAATTGTGCAAAGCTGTTGGTGTTCTTATAGACCTATATATGACTGACGGCAGGGAGCTCATGATTGGGACTCATTTTGTGTCCGTCATTGTCTCAGGCTCTGCATCCGCTTTCGACCTGACAGAGGGTTTTGAAATTGTATAATCAGCTGTAAAACCTGGCAGTCGCCAAATACGAAGAACCACAGGGTACTATTGTGATTCATACTCAGGTTCAGTATTGTTAGATGAACTACAACAGGAGAAAATGTGTGGCACTTGCCTGTACAAAAATCAAGCCATGTTGCTAGAATGCTGGTCAAGGTGCTGCTAAGTGGAATTTAAAAGTTGCTATGTGAATGCTAGGGTTGCTTACTAAACCAAGTCAAAAGAGCCTGCTAACAAGTCTCCATGACATTCTGGCTCCTAGATATGACTACCATCTTCCAGGTGACAATCAACTAATAGAACAGTAATAGAACTCCTCTCCTCAAGCTGTCTATTGCACAAACAGTGTGAGATTAGTTAAATGTAATCCTTAAAAGTATATTCAGTAATTTTTTGTAGTTTTACTTCTGAAGAAATTAATATAAATGATGTTAAATATCATGTTTATTCACATATAGTAGCCTAATAATAATATTTAAAAATATCGCCTCATGGTAGCTGACATGTTGAGATCACATGACCAGTAGAATATTACTTACTTTATCTTTTGCTCATGGAATAAATTAAATGGAATAAATTAAGACAAATAAATCGGTATAAATTAGGACAAAAAGCAAATTTCTTTAATGCCTTCAGTAACATATATCACAGTTTCCAAAAAAACAAAACAATAAAAGAACTGTTTTCAGCGTTGATAATAATAAGAAATGTTTCTTGAGCAATAAATCAGCATATTAGAATAATTTCTGAAAATACTGAAGACTAAAGTAATGGCTGTTGAAAATTCAGCTTTGCCACCATAGGAATAAATAACATTTTAAAAGATGTTAAAATGGAACATTATTTTAAATTGCAATATTTCACAATATTAGCATTTTTACTGTATTTCTATCAGTATTTTTGATCATTTTTTACATTAAAACACACTTACATGTATTGTATATTTCTATATGTATATTTCTGTATATATATTTGTTATTAAATATTACTATTATTATAATTATAAAAATAGAAATGTAAACAAAATATATAAAAAAAAAATATAAAAATATACATATTTATTATTATTAGATTTTTTGTTTATTTGATGTAAAATAACCCTGTCAGAGGTGGAAAGTCCAGGTTCAGAAATAAAAGTCCTCCTCAGTATTTTGTTCCAATCACCTGGATTTGCTAATTAGCACAGTTTTTCAGCCAGGAGGTAGAACTAATTAGTGAAATCAGCTGGCTGAGTTCATGAGTGGAGTAAACATATGGCAGGACTTTTACTTTCTGACCCCTGGACTTTCCACCTCTGAACCCTGTATATAACAGAACCCTGTACGGGCTACTCACCTGTATGGTAACGATGCGTGGGAGGGGCTGACGTGTGTTTGCCCCACCTTCTATTGCGATGCCCAGAGTACTGGCGCTTTTTGCCACTCTCACTAGAGTCGACATGGGCTCCAACAGACCCGGCTGCAAGGTAGATTTACAGACAGATTAGAGACAGGATGGGAAAGATGGGAAGAAGAGGAGAGAGAAAAGAGAGACAGGAGAGTAGCAAATCAAAGAGAGGGAGAGAGAATGAAAGGGAACAGAGATAGGAAGCAAAGACACATTTGCCTTTGATGATGCACACTGCTTTGTGTCTGACGGCCTAAAATAGGGCCACAGGAAGTGGCTTACGCCCAACCACAGTGTCCTCAGATAGCACTATTAGTTCACTCTGCGAGATCAACAACACAGCTCATGCGTATAAGAAAGCCGGGAAGCAAATAGCTAAAGGACGGCCAAAAGGAAGACTCAGAAGATTCAGCACACTGAGATTGGTTTTTCAGAGAGCTGTTGGATCAGTGATATGTGATGAGATGGACGAGTCAACAAAGAAAGAACAGAAAAACTTAAGGAAATGTATGTACCAAAAGAAGAAAAGTGAAAATTATTTGTTAAAAGTCAAGCACGCTCAGTCACAGGGAGGGGGGACGAAATAGATTTATGCAACTGCACTCTTTTTCACTCTCATTCACACTTTTAACACCAACCCTCTGTCACTGTCATTAACTCTCACACATCCACCTCTCTCTCTCTCTCTCTCTCGGTCTCACCGGTTTGGCAGATGTTTCTCCTCCTCCGTGCCCATCCCGTGGGGTTCTTGTGCGGGCGGGACGTGGGCTGCTATCTTTACTGAGACATCCAGATTCGGCAATGTCCACACCGCTGTCCTCGCTAAGGGTCTGTCCGCTGTCTGACAGCTGGGATAGTGTCCCTCCTACAAGAAAACGGTGACAATAAGTGCATTCAGATGCAATTAGAATCGAGTGTAGTGGGGTTTTGTGTAGCCGAGCTACAGTCTACATCTGTTTTTCCAAGAATACTTGAAAACATGTAATGGAATATTTAAAGGATTAAATACACATTGTGTGTCAGCTCTGTCTTTCAGAGCATGTGCACAGCGCCAAGGCCTGATTAACTTATACATGCTGGACAAAGCTGAGTCACAATTGCATTATTAAACTCTGTTAGTCTTACTTTGCAAAAACTATACTTAATTTTGGAATACAGCACTTTTGCTAGATTTTTGGCCCATTTACTGTCTGGAGGGTCAGCTCTAGTTGCCAAAAGTCACTGCCAGTCTACAGTTTTTTTGGTCAGGCTTCATTTTTTATTTTATTTTTTGCTCCAGGTTATCATTTCATCCCATCAGAGGATATGAAACATGTTTAATATTTTGAGCTGATTTAAAAACACATACTCTTTCCCAAATATGCCTCCTTCCCATACTATATAATAGTGAAAAACATTATATGAGCCTGGTATGTCCGAATTCATAGTGTTTCTAAAACAGTAGGAAAAAAGCATCCTGATGACCCACTACTTCTTGCGAGATTCTGAAGTGTGCATTTAATGGACACTTTACTATCCCATGAGGCCATGGGAGAGGATTCATGAATGGCAGTGAAGCAATGCAACTGCAGGTCCCATGACAGTAGCTGCGTTTCCATTACACTTTAAATTGCGTAAATTGAAATTGTGAATTGAAAAACCGCTCAATGGAAACACGTCAAATTCGCGCAAACTCCCATTTATCACAAAACGTTTTTATGCTCGCATGAGGTGGTTTTTCAAGCAATTCGAAAAAGGAATATGAAGCAAAACTGCATTGGAAACAGTTTTTTTGCATTTACAGATCACCTGGCATATGTAAAAGTCACATGATCATTATTTAACTTACTAAAACTGCTCTCAAGTATAAGGGGCTTTCCTAGCCATTAATGCTTGGATAACCCCTTATTTACACTGCACATGTCTGTGGCACATTATGGCTCCGACGCAGCCACTCTAGTCTAGTCACTCTAGTGGCACATTTCAGAAGCAGCACTGAAGCGGCTCGCCACGCTGCTTCGCTAAAGATACATGCCTACATCTCCTTCGATTAAAAATAATGGCTATTGCGGTGGCTGCAATATACAGTATGTAAACCTACATCTATTGATGTCTGATCTGTCGCCATGACTTATTGGGAGAGGAAAAAATGATGTTTTAGTCATATAACATTGGTTAATGGAAACGGCGTCATTTTGTAATAGATTTTTATCGACATTTCTAAAATATCACAAAAGTTTTGCTCAAATCTGTAATGGAAACGCAGCTAGTGCTAACATGGCGGGTGCAGTACGTCCGAATTTCATTCATACAAATATTCATACTATAACGGTCACAAAGCAAGTTTCAAATAAAATGTAGTACCTACTATACAGTATGCCATTTTGTACGCAGTGATACTATTTTTATTTGTCATGCGACTTATGCAACCATTAACCAGGTTTTAAAAGTTGTGTAGCGCATTCCAGTATTTATATGATTTCAGTTGGACTAAAATGCTTTAAATGACATTTCAAAAGGACAAACTATTGCTTTAGTCAGACTGAATTTGAACGGTTATAGTGTTTCTAAACACAGACAGACAGACAGTTGAAGTAATACATCTGCAGATTAACAATTTTAACAACCATAAAAATTCCTTGCTTTTTAAGAACCAAATGTTATAAACTTTTGAATGTGGTCATTTTGGTAAATTCAGGTATTATGTTATCTTGTGGATTATATGTAAACATATATTATGTAAAATAGCTTATTCAGGCCAGCACTAAAATTAAGTATCTTATTATTATTATTTATTGTTTTTATTATCTTATTTTGATAAAACATTTAGCAGATTCTACAAGGTGTATTCAAAATTATGACCGCAATTGTGATTACTTTCCAAAGTTTTTCTCCCAAAAATCATAATTCATGTAATTGTTTTCAACTATAATTCAAATTATAAGTAATTCAAAAGTCATATGTGGTTATTTTATCCATGGAACACAAAAAGAAAGTGAGTAAAATGACTGAATTTCAATATCTGCCTGAACTAATTCTTTTAAAATGAAAATTTTTCCTTTTCAACACGGAGGATAATTCATTTTTAGCCATTAATTGGGTGAAAATAACCAGACTGGATAGAAATCGACAGCTGGTTAATGATAGGCCTACATTAAATATCTGCAGCTGCCCACAATGCATCAAATCTGGCCAGTCTCACCTCGCGTCTGTGGCAGCGGCCGCACCTCGTTCACATCAGGCTCTGCGTTGGGCCTGTGCACCTCCACCATGACAAAATGCTGATTGGATGCTGGGGAAGAAGGGGCGGGCTTATCTGGGCATGGGGGTGGAGAAGGAGGAGGCGGCGGCGGGGGCCCATTAGGGGCGGGTGGAGGAATCGGAGATGACGATTGGACAGCAGGCTTCACCTTACTAGGAGACTGGACTCGGGGGAATGGTCCTATAGGATGCTGACTCACTATTGAGAGCTGAGGTGCTGGGACGTCTATCTTGAGGGTGTCAGGAGGAGATGTGTGAGGTTTGGGTGCTTTTGGGTGTTTGGGTTCTTTGGTCTGGGAACGAGAAGGAGCAGTGAAGCACAAGCCCGATTGGGAGGAGCTGGAAGAGGGACGTTTGCTAAGCGTGGCTTTTCGACTGGGCCGGCGCTGAAGCCCTGGGGGAGGAGGAGGTTTAAAGGAAGGAGGGGAATCTGAGGTGGAATGAACCTCATCCTAGGATGAAAGAGGAGAGCGTTAGCCATATTTCAGATTATATTTCAAAGGAGATCAATAAAACATTCCGCATTCAATAACACAGTCTTCACAGCTTATAATGCACCATACACACCCATACATTAAAACATACGACAATTACCCACAAATCACTGCTTTGAGGACAAGAACAACCGGTTCATTCAGACCAAGTGGCAAAGCAAAAAACAAAACCAAAAAAAACAAAACAGGAAATGAACAAAATAAGGCTGAACGGGGTGAGCAGAAGCCAGATGAATGAGGTGTCAGTGCCGTCAGAAAGCAATCAAACCGAAATGCGAGTCGTCTGCGTGGGTTTTTTTCCCCATCTGGGCTTGAACATTCTCTGGAAACTTTACGTTCACATGCTCCTGACTTGCACCTGATAGAGCTATGCTGATGCTTGATGGGGTTTTGTCAGATAACCAACAGAAAACTCTCTGAGAAAGACCCCAATCTTCCTCAGCCATCTCTCTCACAACAGGCAGCCGTCAGCGAAAGTGTCATCATCTCATCTATTTCTCTCTTTCACTCTTTCCGTCAAACAACCATCAGCTGTCTGAGTAGCCGAGCCTTTATAACCGTTTGAGATAGAGCTGGGCGGCATGACAGTATAAAATATGTCAACAGTAGAGATTTTGCTATACTGTTGTACTGTAGATATATTCTCAACAATGTGCAGGACTGCTTTGCGTACGTTATCTTCACATGACAGCGACAAGAAACATGGAGTAAATAAAGATTAGGATTGAAGGATTAATCATTCTGGGGCATATGAGGAACAGTTTAGCAACATCAGCTTGCTGCGTTAATACAGAATGTGTGGTCAAAAGTGTGTATTGGCTGTTTTAAAAATGTACAATCAGAATTTCAAGTCAGAATATAGAGTAATGTTAGTTTTGAAAGTCTTCTGTTTTGAAATCCCATATCTGTTCATAATCTGTTTTTGTACTGAGGCCAGATTTATCATTTGTCTATTATGAATCTTATCTTTTGGTTTTCATCAGTGTTATCATTAACTAAAAATACTAAAAACATGTTGTCAATTGAAAAAAAAAAAGAAGTTGGAATAAAATAAAATTAAATATTAGGTTATTAGGTGAAAAACTAAACGAACTAGCAAATATTAGAAATACAAGTAAGCTGTACTTTTACTAAAATTACAAACTAAAATAAAACGGAAACTAAAACAGAAATAAAAATAAATTAATACTAGAATTTTTTTTTTTGTATAAAAATGACAAAAAAAAAACAATATACTAAAGCTAAAAATACTAAAAATGAATCTAAAAAAAACACTGAAAAACTGAAAATATAAAACTGAAAAAAACCCCTGAAAATATAAGAATTAAAGCTAATTCAAAATATTCTAATCATATTTGAATAATATTAAAATCACAATGGTTAGCTTCCATCAAGTGGCAATTAAAACAAGAAAATCATCTAATGAGGTAAAGTATTATTTATTTGTACAATACATAATATATATTAATATAATATCTAATTAAAATAAATAGTTGTTGATCTCATTAGATTATATCCTTTTTTCATATACCATTTGCTAGATTAAAATTAAAAACTACATATGAAATATATTGTTATTTTGATACAAAACCACATTTCCTGTGACATAACACTTTGTCATACCACCTACCCCTATGCTGAGAGTTTTAAATTTCGGGTTTCATTCAAAGGCATCATCACACCGGTCATAATCTGCCCCTGGTAATTTTCAAGGTGTTCACTGCCAGTTCTCATAATGTGCTCTATTCCACACCTCAGCAGATTCCAACACTCCCCTTTCTCTCTCTGTTCCCCCTCTTTTATCTTTCCTGTTCCTCCTCAAACTGAAGGGCTTACCAGAGAGATGTCTGGCAGGGCATTGCTACGCTCCAGAGACTGTTCCCCGTTGTTCTCTGCAACACCATCGTTCTGGGAGAGAGAAAAACAAAAGTGAAAACGAGAACAAGAGACTATGAAACAAATGAAAAACACAGCTGTGTGTTTATCCCCTAAACAAAAGTTCAATCCAAATTGCATTTTGTTGAGGGCCCATTTCACAGAGGGGCATCAAAACACAATTGCACTTACAGTCCTACATTTCAATCTCGCATCCAGTCTCATTTTCCGTCCAACACATATCGCACAGAGAGGAAGAGAAGCCCTGATTCGTGTGCTTGGGTGGAATAAGAGGGAGGTGATGTTGTGATGGCTGATTGTATTCAGACCTGTGATTCACCTCATTAAAACTCCCCTCCACCAAAACAAAAGCCTCATCAATTCACTTTATTTGCGTGCTCGCCATGTACAAAGGAGGCACTTATGGACTAATTTGTTTTATGTTTTGCCTGTCACTCCTGTAATAATTGTGCTTTTTTGCTGTATAATTGTACAATTTAGAATTCATTTATATTTCATGATACACATTAAACTGAATTCATGAACAAATGAGTCTAATGAGTTGGTTCTTTTAATGAATAGTTACAAATGACTCTTATGAGTCAGTTCTTTTAATGAATAGCTTCATTTACCAGATTGAATCAGTCTAATGAATCCTTAACTGAACTGATTCAGTTACCAGATTGAATCAGTCTAATGAATCCTTAACTGAACTGATTCAGTTACCAGATTGAATCAGTCTAATGAATCCTTAACTGAACTGATTCAGTTACCAGATTGAATCAGTCTAATGAATCCTTAACTGAACTTTTAACCCTTAAAGCTGCAGTCCGTAACTTTTGGCGCTCTAGCGGTTAATAAACAGAACTGCGTGCGTCTTGCGGAAGAACATTGTAGCCGGAGCTACTTCTCTCTGTTTATGTCTATGACGAATCACGCAGGTACTGGGCTACTCCGCAGCAGTACCTACCCGAACCAGTCTAAATAGTCCGAATATAAACACTTATTATAGGTGTACCGTAGTGATTCAGCACAAGCCAAAAACATGGTTTGGAAAATGGATTCATGGTGTAATCGCTTAATATATACATTTTGAACACAAAAAAGTTACGGACTGCAGCTTTAAAGGGATAGTTCACCCAAAAATGAAAATTCTGTCATCATTTACTCACCCTCATGTCGTTCCAAACCTGTATGAGCTGCTTTCTTATGTTGAACATAAAAGAAGTTGGTGGTTGCCATTGACTTCCATAGTATTTTTTTTCCTACTATGGAAGTAAATGGCAACCACCAACTGTTTGATTACCAGCAATCTTCAAAATATCTTCTATGTTCAACATAAGAAAGCAACTCATACAGGTTTGGAACGACATGAGTAAATGATGACAGAATTTTCATTTTTGGGTGAACTATCCCTTTAACTTTTACTGAACTTTCTCAGTAAAATTATTTTGTAACAGTTTCATAACCGTACATATAAGTATATACGCTACCATTCAAAAGTTTGTAGGATTTTTTTTTTGTATATTTTGAAAGGAATCTCTTACACACACACCAAGGCTCACCAATTTATTTGATCAAACCTACAAAAACAGTAATATTGTGAAATATTATTACAATTTAAAATTTTTATATTTTTAAATATTTTTAAACATTTTAAAATGCAATTATTCCTGTAATGTCAAAGCTGAATTTTTAGCAGCCATTACTCCAGTCTTCAGTGTCACATGATTCTTCAGAAATCATTCTAATATTCTGATTTGCTCAAGAAAAAATTATTATTATTATTATCAAAAGAAATTCTAACTCCAATCTTTTAAATGCAAAAATTAGCCAATGACATTAAATCACTGGCTGGACACAATGTTCCGTTCCCTTCCTTCAAACTAAAACAGACAGAACAGCAGACTCAGAAAGACACTGCACTGTGCTGGCTCAGGTCCTCCACCTTCCCACAATCCCCTGCTGTGCTCCACTGGAGCATGAATCAGGACGCTCTCTGCGAGACGACTTCCTTTTTTTTTTTGTCTGGGGGGGCTTATCTGTGCTGACAGCTCTGCATATGGCTGATGAGGTGCGGTACCAAGATGAGAGTCCCAGAGCGAGCACTTCGTCTGCGGAGCTCCGCGGGAGCTGGGCTGCTGCCGCTGCTTCTTGTAATTACCAGAGCCAGAGCTGGCAAGCTTACAACAACACCAATCCACAGAGGAGGGCCACGAACAAAGCTTGCATGCAAACACGTTCACTCATTTCCAAAGTGCACGCACACACATACACACACACACAGAGGTACATATATACAAACAACTGACCCATGATGAAGAGGTACAAAGTCACAGCGGACATATTTTTGATTTGCGACATGCATGCATGTACTAATGTCAGATCACTGCAACCCACACATACACACAGACAGATATCAGACATGAGTGACTTTGAGAGGGATCAATCCATGCAGAGAATGTAGACTGTGCTGTATTATGTTCCTGTATGTGTGAGTGTGTGTTAAAAACAACCCCACATCATAGCGAACTCTAGTTTAACATGTGTATGTTGGCTAGAGAGACACACCCAAATCGAATACCATAGTAACCATATTTTCCAACAAAATATCACAGTTATAGCTACTGGTTATGGAAGCTAAAAAAAGATAATTGAGTTTTCATCTCACAATTCTGACTTTTTTTGAGTTATAAAGTCAGAATTGCAAGAAATAATGTCAAAATTGTGAGATATAAACTTTTTCTTCCAATTCTGATTTTATATCTCGAAATTCTTACTTTTTTCCCTCAAATGTGACTTTATATATCGCAATTCTGACTTCTTTTCTCAGAATTGTGAAATATAAACTTGCAATTGACTTTGTAACTTGTAATTGCGAGTTTATATCACATACTGTAATTCAGACCTTGTAACTCGCAATGGAAAAAAATCTGAATTGCGTGATGTGATTTTTGTTGCTACGCAGTTGCTAAGGTCTTCTGATTGTATTTTTTCATGGTGCTATACAGTTGCTAAGGTCTTATGGTTGTATTTTTTTTGTTGCTATGCAGTTCCTAAGGTCTTCTGAGTGTATTTTTTCGTGTTGCTATGCAGTTGGTAAGGTGTTCTGAGTGGATTTGTTTTGTGTTTGCAGTTGTTAAGGTGCTCTAGTTGTTTATAGTGTTGCTATGCAGTTGCTAAGGTCTTTTTGAAAGTATTTATTCATGTTGGTATGCAGTTGCTAAGGTCTTCTAAGTGTATTTTTTCATGTTGCTATGAAGTTGCTAAGGTGTTCTGAGAGGATTTATGTGAGTTGCTATGCAGTTGCTAATGTGTTTTGTAGATTTTTAGTGTTGCTCTGTACTGTAGCTAGGGTTTTCTGAGTGAATTTGTACATGTTGCTATGCAGTTTCCAGGGTGTTCTATGTGGATTTTTAATGTCACTATGCAGTTGCTAGGGTGTTCTGGGTGATTGGTTACTGGCCAAAAAGATCCCCATCACAAGTCTCTATGATATTCCAGTCCCTAGATATCGTTCAAGTACCTCCTTCAATGTTAATATAAGTGATTTTTGCAGCCATTTCATCGCTCGCTGGGCAAAAATCATAAGTCTAATCGCTCTGAAAAGTAATAGCACGCCTCTCCTCAATAATCTGCATCATTTGAGGTATCATTCATATCAGCAGTAGAAATAGTGCGGGACAAACTGCGCTGAACATTACTACTGTACTTAAGGTCAGTAATGTATTTTTATGGTAATATAGTGGGAACTATGGTTACTATGGTACATTTTGTAAAGGTAAGCGAGAGATTGTTTAACACAGGGTTCTTATTCTGATAAATAGAAAGTTCAAAAGAACAGCATATATTTGAAACTGACATTTTTGTAAAATTATAAAGTCTTTTCTTTCACTTTTCGATCAATTGAATGCATCCTTGATAAATGTATTAATTTGTGCAAAACAACAGTGTATCCTTAAAAAACATACTAGCATTATCGTCATAATAAAATAAATAAAATGACAAAGATTCAATACCATATTAATATATTCATTTTAAATTCTATGATATTCCAGTCCCTAGATATCGTTCAAGTACCTCCTTCAATGTTAATATAAGTGATTTTTGCAGCCATTTCATCGCTCGCTGGGCAAAAATCATAAGTCTAATCGCTCTGAAAAGTAATAGCACGCCTCTCCTCAATAATCTGCATCATTTGAGGTATCATTCATATCAGCAGTAGAAATAGTGCGGGACAAACTGCGCTGAACATTACTACTGTACTTAAGGTCAGTAATGTATTTTTATGGTAATATAGTGGGAACTATGGTTACTATGGTGCATTTTGTAAAGGTAAGCGAGAGATTGTTTAACCTACCTCCATCATATCTATCAGCCAGAGGAGTCTTTCCTGTTTTATTGAGAGGGAAAGGGTATGGGGTGTTAAACTGTTCCTGCAATTTACACTGGGAGTCAGCAGGCTTAAAAATCTGTCAGAAAACACTTCTCCATCTGTCACAGCAACATCACACCCCTGAGACGGCTACGAATCTAAACAGCTGTGCTTTCACAATGAGACGTGGATGAGCTGAGGTGAGACATGCCTGGACAGAGCGAGGCAGGAGGACAGACGGGTTTCGAGTGATGGATGTAAAATCCTCCAACAGAAAGGACAAAAGCTATTTCCCACAGCCCTTCATCTTGTATCCTAGTAATCTGCACAAGTCTTCTTTGTGCCTAAATTGCCCACCAATTTTGTGAACGGCTTTTTATGTCACACACAACAACAATGCCATCCACTCATCCCACACCAATACAGATGCACAGCCTTAAACACTTCCTGTCTGAAATTATAGATACAGACACTGGGTCGGGTTCAATAATAATTGCACACAAGTGTTCAATAGTGATTCATAAACTCATTCTGAATATGGATGTTCTTTCTTACCCGTGCGGAGCTGAGGGTGGTGTTGGTCATGAAGCTGGCTGAGGAGGAGGCCAGCGTATCAGGGTACGAGACCATGGAGAAGGAATCTTGAAACCCAGCTCCGCCACCTTGCCTCGCCTTCAGGGCCTCAATCTCTCGTCTCAAAACCAGGCCGTCAAATCTCTCCACATCCGGAGGGGTCACGAGCCCCCTCACCTCTGACAGCAGAGAGAACTGCAAACACACACACACACACACACACACACACACGTACAGAGCCGTGAATGTGACCGGGCTAGTGTTGATTGTTTTAATCTCAGGGTTTTTAATATGTTCATAAATGGGAATGTATTATGAGGTTACACTTGCTGTAAATCACCAGACAATGATGGCACAATATACTGAGGACACTTTTGGATAGTGTCAGTATTATGTATATTATTACTACAGTAATAATTCATTCAGCCAGTAAAAGTCTTTAATAAAAAAAGATTTGAGCATAAATTTGTCAAAAATTAGTTACACTACCACTCAAAAGTTTGGAGATGATAAGAGTTTTTAATCTTTTATAAAATACAGTATATTGTGAAATTATTGCAATTTAACACAACATTTTTCTATTTTTAATATATTTTAAAATATATTTTATTCCTGTCGTGGCATTTTATAGTAATAACAATAACAAACACTACTGTATTTTGGTAGAAATGACCAAATATTACTAATTTTACATTTTAATTTTTTTTAATCTTTGTAACAGTAAATATAAAAGGTATAAAAAAAAAATCAAGAAATACACTAGTGAGCAAAAACGTTAGTGGCAGATTTTTATTCTATAACATGCACATTTTCTGAAGAGATATATAAAGATTAATGTAAATGCCTCCACCTTGGCATGTGTATTGAACAGCTCAAAGAGGGCCATGACCAGCTGCTCAACACCGATGTGACAATCGCGGTACTCCTGGATGTAGTAGCCCATGGTCTGCCTCTCTAGTTCGGTCAGCAGATGTCTGGCCTGTCAGCAGCCATTACTCCAGTCTTCAGTGTCACGTGATCCTTCAGAAATCATTCTAATATGCTAATTTAAAGAAATTTGTATTATTATTTGTATTTAATATGATTTTATTATTATTAGAACAGTTGTGCTGCTTAATATTATTGTGGAAACTGTGATATATATGAAGAATTCAGGTGCAAAAGCCTCTAAGTGCCATTTGAAATTTTCTTCTAAAATGAGCATTTTTCTCAGGCTCTCATGTGTAGGTTCAGTAAATTCACTTTAATGGCAATGAATAGGTTCTTTTCATTGCCATTAAAATTAAATAACTGAACATAAACATAGGATTCCGAGAAAAATGCTCATTTTAGAAGAACATTTCAAATGGCAGTCATGGCACTTAGAGGCTTTTGCATCTGAACTCTTCAAATATATATATATAACACTAGTGAGCAAAAACGTTAGTGGCAGATTTTTATTCTATAACATGCACATTTTCTGAAGAGATATATAAAGATTAATGTAAATGCCTCCACCTTGGCATGTGTATTGAACAGCTCAAAGAGGGCCATGACCAGCTGCTCAACACCGATGTGACAATCGCGGTACTCCTGGATGTAGTAGCCCATGGTCTGCCTCTCTAGTTCGGTCAGCAGATGTCTGGCCTGTTCCTCCAGCATGGCCCTGCTCTGGTTCACCAAACTGGACAGAGTCACCTGAGATCCTGCCACACCTTTATAAAAGCCACCCTGAGCAGAATAGAGAAAAGAAGAAACGCAAATATTTCAAAAGAAGAAATTCAATATTAATACTAATATTCAAACACCTGTGGCTCATTGAGCCTCAAAGCACACATTTGAAATCTTTCAACATCACTGGATAAGCCTCTGGTTCATTACTGATATTCTAACTCTCATCTCCATGATGTCTCTTACCCTCCTCCCTATTTGCACTCTCTCATGTTTCAGCCTCTCTCCTCGAGAGCAGCTTTTCCTTTAATTAGTCTCCTAATCAAAAAGCACTGCTCCAGAATCAACATGATCATCGATCAGTGTTACGCTCAGCCTAGAAATGGCATGCTCTCCAAGCAAAGGATGATACCAAAACACTCCAACAAACCAATATGGAAAACTAGCTAGATAACTAACTTGCTTGCTACACACCGACCCATTAGATGGGTTTGATGTACACTTTAGATCGATCAGTGGTGCATCGCATGCCTTAAATTCATTTCATCTACTTATGTCTGCTTGAACAGCCTATTGACTGTCGTTGGGTGGAGATGCATGTTTGTCGGCAGTCTGGTTTGCAGGTGCAGTCGAGCAGCACTAGTGTCTATGTTATCTAGCCGTTAAAAGACACAAGGCTTTGAACTGAGCTCGATCAATACAGACAGACAGTGGTTGAGGTGAGTGAATGCTGATCATGACTGAACTATTCTTGCCCTTATTCTTTTCTTTCTCTTTAGAATAAAGTCTCAATCGTACAGCACTCCCACAGGAACTAATGCATTTCCGTTGCATCAAATGACAGACCATTTATTTTCACAGTATTTTGGAGGAAAATTCCCTGACCGGTTTGACTCATGCAGCTAATGTCCTTTCCTGGACATTGAAGAATAACTAGTCGAGAAAGTTGCTGTTCTTGCAAACCCAAGGTAGAGACTTAAAGAACGTAATTAAGAACAAAACTGGCACAGTGAACAAATACCTAGGAAATTATTTAATGTAATACAATACAATTTGTGTAAGTAAAAAAAAAAAATGCTGTCCTGACCTAATACATTACTCTCACCAGGGCCAGAGTCTATAGACTATAATTTATGCCATCCATTTACTTTATTTCCACTTTCTCTTCTGAAAACCCAGTGATTTCACATAAATTCCCTAAGTTAGAACCTCATGAGGTCGCTGTGCTGTTGAACTCAAATTCATCCTCACCCAGAGAATGAACTGTTTCTGAAACACTGCTGAGGCCAACCACTGCAGCCGAGAGATTCATTATACATATATGAATATAATGAATATATATTCACATACATATATAAAGTTTGGGTCAGAAAGATTTTTTTGAACATAAATTTACCATTTAGAATGGTAGGATTTCTATATGTTTTTAAAAGAATGCTTATCAAGGCCACATTTATTTGATCAAAAATACAGTGAAAAAGTAATATTGTGAAATAGTATTACAATTTAAAATAACTGTTTTCTGTTTGAGTATATTTTAATTTATATCTGAATTTTTAGCAGCCATTACTCCAGTCTGAGAAATCATTCTCATATGCTGATTTGGTGCTTAAGAAAAATGTCTTACTATTTTCAATGCTGAAAACATTTTTGCTGAATTCCTTGATGAATAGAAAGTTCAAAAGAACAGCGTTTATTTGAAATAGATTTCTTTGTGGTAACAGTGTAAATTCTAACTGTCACTTTTGATAAACCTAATGCATCCTTGCTGAATAAAATAATTTCTTCTTACTGACCCCCAAACTTTTGAACGGTAGTATATATATATAGTAGCTATAAGACTTCTTCAGATGAGAACACAAGTGTCTCTGTCTAGTTTGATGGTGAGAGGTTCAAAAGCCCTGCCCTCCACAGCACTCTGGGATATCAGCTCCACTGCTCAATTACAAAAAGCAAAGCTCGAGCAGAATCTCTCCAACAAAAGATGATCAATAAAACTAGCAAGAAAAATGTGAGGTTTTATAATTCCTTAAGAATGATAGCGGCCAAGATGGGATCGATCATGCGCGATCTGTAGTGTTACAAACTTTATGGTTACCCATTATGACATCACTCGACTGACAGCCTCTTTAATCACAGGAACACATAATTGCTGATCAATATCATAACTTTAGGACAGCACAATCAGAACAAGTGTTTTGTCCGCCAGAACCGCGTCGTGAGACTCAAAGAGCAGAAACTCCAGCCGTGTCCCCACACATCACACCCCAGTGAATTTGAATAGGGCTTGAATGAGACAACTTATCCCTAGATTGAGCTTTATCTAAAAGGAACTTGAGATAACTCACCTCTAAAAAGAGCGGAAAGGCATTTTCTCTCAAACAAAATAGAATGCAAACATAAAAATAATAAAATAAAGTGTCCTATAGGGGATATGCTTCTGGACTGAAAGAAGGCTTGTCCTTGGAAGAAGTTAAGCAAAGTGAAGGTCAGGAAAGTGTAGAGTAATTCATCCTGAAGTGGGACTTACAGTAATATTATTAAAATATAAAATAATATAATAATATAAAATGGTGACCGTGATTTCACAAAGTACAACATGTTCCTAGATCAACATCCTTGTTGATCCTGGAACAACATTCCAATCAACCAATCAGAATTGAGGGATAACTTTTCAGGAAATATCTGTTTTAGGCTTACGATCAGGGTTAGGTGCTTCTATACCCTTGGTAATCAGCTATCATTCCACAATGATTTTAGGAATAAATTATGGGTAAGGTTAGGTTTAGGGGTAGGGATTGGGTTTAGTCCATATTTTTGGACAGTAATGTTGATCCAGGATAAACAAAAGATGTTGATCCAGGAACATGTCTTACTTGGCAAAATTCCGGCGACCATATAAAATAATCAACACAACCAAAAACACTGAGATAGATGGATAAAATGATATAACAGACAGACAGACAGACAGACAGATAGACAGATAGATATATAGATAGATAGAATGACAACGATAGATAGATCTTCCCCCGTCTGCGCGTCCTGAAGCGCTTGATCAGCGCCACAGCTCCCCCGACTGCAATGTCCAGCAAAACATCAGAATAATCAAAACTGCTTTCTAAAACATGACTATTTTAAAGTCATTCTGTTCCATCAAAATTATGTAAAAACGATTTAATCTCACTCCTGCTGTCACATTACCTCTAACTGCTAAAACATAAGGCCACTGAGCAATAAATTAAATAATTAGATGATCAAGATCAGTGTCACCTTGGTTAGACGTTAATTAAAATGACAAATGTTTGGGATCGGGAGCTGCTGTCGGTTACAGCTCTATCCGTCTCATTATCAGAGTTTTAATATGCAAACCGACGACATGGAGAGAATGACTAAGCTTTATAACAAGTCACGCCATCTCGGCTCTCAGACAATATTACCGTCCCGGCCTGACTATGGCCCATGTCGAAATTGGAGCTTCATTTTTCCCTCTTGAGCTACATTAAGATCTGTGCTTCGAAGAGCACGTCTCTCCCGAAGAGATGATAGATTTTTACACCTCTTTTTAGAACAGTGGCAGAGCGGAGCAGTCAATAGATGTCCTAAAGGCACACCGGAGATAAGCTCTCACAGATAAGCAAGCTTTCTTGTATATAGACCAAACCAAACATTAAAAAACAGCCTGTCAAACCATGTGTCAGTAGAAGTTCACACAAATCTTATAACGATCTCATTTGGATTAAGGAAAAATGCACTTTACAGCCCCTTGAAGAATTATCTCGACCTTGAAGTGCATCATTTTTTATTGTTAAAAACTTTATTCGTTTAATGTGTAGACACAACTATAATATCAGAAATTGTATTAATAAATATGTTTTTTATAGATATACACACATGTATATATATATATATATTATAAAAACATTAATCAATATATAAAATCAAGTCTGAAGCAGGACTTTCCATTTGGATAAACAACAGAAACCAAAAAAAGGGAAAAAACAAACAAACAGTAGTGGTGTATAAATTATGTCACCTTTCACCTTTAAGTGTCATATTGCAGATGGGACTGGAGGGATTTGTCAAGGGAACCTCCAGTCACATTTTCAGAAATGTTCAATCTTTTGATGTTTTATTGTGCTTTGTTTACTTTGCTAATGCCATTGTGCTAGACCCCTGAGGGCCACCGTAGTTCTTGTCTTAAAAGGGCAATGTCAATTTGGAGAATTCAATTAGCTTCGAAATGAGGGCAGCTGAAATGGGTTTAAACTGCAATGAGTTGGCAAAGAGGGGGTTGGCATCAAACAACATGAGTCTCGCTTGGGATATAGAGAGATTTCACATCAGGTAATGGAAATAAGTGCCTTACTCAGCGAAGACTCGACAAGGTCACACAGCGAGGAATTCCGGCCTGCAAATAAGCAAAAAACTTCACACAACTACAGAAAACTTCTGAGGCAGAGTAATTGTAATATTGCAGAAGTTCTCCTATATGACTGGAACAGATACCAGTTGTGACCCTACATCATGTGACTCTGCTTTTGTATTTTGTGAACACTGTGAGTGTTAAACTAGGCGGAAAGCGTAAAATACAGCCAGACGTGAACCCACTCTCAAATATCTGAATCAGAAATGAGTTTCAGCTGCAGTAAATGCAACAGATATAAACTGATTTCTGTCTGTTGAATGTGTGATACAGTTTCTGAAAAGTAATAACAAACCAAAACATCATCATTTTCTGTGTTTGTCCCCCATACAAGTTTAACTTGCTCCTACCTGACCTACAATTAATCAAAGCACCCCTCACTGAGCGTCGCACAATTACTTTTCCAATTATTAATTGTCTGCAGGGAGCTTTAAATGTATACTGATGAAAACATAATGAAGCATTTATGTGATTATCAATTTATACGCCTGGATCGTTCTGCAGGCAAATGCTGGAAAATCTTCTTAGGGAACTGAAAGACTAAAAAAGTATTTGCTATATAACTACAAAAATATTGCTTCTGTTAAGCAATGCATGTTTGTTGCGACATGCATTTTTAGTGCAGCTACTGTGATGATTTTATGAGTTAAAATATTAACTGTTATTTCATAGGAATTGCATAACGTATGTGTATCCACATACAATTACACGCTTATGTCTACATATCAGGAGGGATTTATGACTGACTGTGCCTTTCTCACACAAACTGATGTATGTAACTTATCAATGTCCTCCGAAGCATCGTAGAGCTGCGAGTCTTTGGAATACAAAGTGAGTACTGCAAAAGCTCATAGCCCACAGACATGAGCCCAGACACTTCATCTAACCGTGTCCTTTAGCCTGTCATTCCCACTGTATGCAATAATCAGCCCAGTCGTAATAAGTTAGAGCTCACGCACTGCCCAGGCTTTAATGGAATCCGTTGTTTTGTGCATAAACCTCGGCTTACAGAGGAGGACCTTGTAAAACCCTGATCAACGGGTAGGTCACCTTGCTGTTTTTATTCCTCTTCACAATCTCACCGCCTCTGTCTTATCCTATCCTGTCTTTTTATGTCTTCTATTCTTGGACTCTCTTCTATCCATATTTTTTCATTTTTCATAAGAGTTTTTCCTGTTATGAAGGCCATTTTCGCGTCTCTAACATAAATCTTGACGGCATAGTTCACTCAGAAATGAAAGTTGTGTCTTCATTTCTCGTTTTTGGTTGCTATTATTTTGGTTACCAAATATTTTAAAACATTTTTCAAAATATCTCCTTTTATGTTCCACAGAAGAAATAAAGTCATATAGGTTTTGGAACGACATGAGGTTGAGTAATTGATGACAATCCTTATTTTATAAAAAAAAAATATCTATTTTTTGTATGTATTGATGGATGTAAATGTATGTGTGTGCATATGTATATTTTATTATTATTTGTTGTAGTATTACTGAATATGTTTTGAATATTTGTTTTTTTTCTTGCAATTTTATCTTACAATGTACTTTCTGCATTAATTCAATATTAGTATTGCTAAGCAGAAAAGTCAGTAAGCTTCAACTCAACTTAGCTCTTTTGGGTAAACTATTCTTTTAATATATTTCATAAATATTACACTCACAATTTTTATAGATAAAAAATTCTATTAGTTTGTTTCCACTTATCAAAAAGTGATAATTGTAAATAAATTCACTAATATTTTTTGCTGCGCCCCCAGATGCTGCTCTAATTAAACAGGCAACTTACTAAAATCTATTCCAGGTGTTCCTTAATTTTGTCCTTTCCCCAGGAGGTTTAAACAATACATGTTTTATTAAGAATATTTTTTTAATTGATAAACAATTTATTTGTGTCCCCAATTTATATGTCTTTTGTAAATCCTTTTTTCTTTTTGCCCTTAACGAACAAAAACAGTTCACTATTGACTTTGTCCTCCTGAAAGTAACATCATTTTTGACTCAAAAGCAACAGAAAAAATTATAGAAATCAGTATAATATAATTTTAAAAGATGGTTAAATGTCAAAGTACTGTAACATATTCTCAATCTGTAATTGCCAATGACTAACTTTAATCAAGTTAATAATAAGTTTAAGTACCTGATCTTGATCAAAACACGTCTGAAAGTGTGGTATATGCTATTATAGAAATAAATTCTTATATTACACAAGCATATTCATTTTCTAAAAGTCGCAGTTCAAAAGGTACCGCATAAGAGATTGACCATTCTATTATTTCCTGTTCTCTCATTTATTACAATATAGTGCTACACCAGTCTCACAAACACACACACACACACACACACACACACACACACAGTGATGGTAAGAATGTTAAGTGCATGTGTCTTTTTTTGCGGAAACCAGTCTGAATACAGATCACCTTGGATACCATATGCCCGAGGGATCAAAGCCTCTTGGCAGCGTCTACCTGACACTCTCTTTACCCAGACCAAGACGATAATTTACAGCGATACCACCTTCCTCTTTCATCCCATTCTCTTCCATCTCTTGCCCTTCCTATGTCTTTCGGTTCTTCTGTTCTCCTCATTATGTCCGCAAACGTCCTCTTTCTTTCTAGCCACAGTACAGGAACAGGTGTGTGATTGCCTGCCTAGAGTCAGCGCCACAATCCCCCTGTTCCCATATCAACCGATAATGATATGTGACCAGATATGAAATGACCTGTGATTCTGACTCCTTTTCTCTTGCGATTAGTCTGGCTAAGGTAAGTTCTTTAGTTCATGTTCTTTAGGTTATCAAAGCAATGCAAATACATGAGTCTGATCTATTATGCAGCTAAATCACTGACTATGGCTCATTTGCATAACAACAAAATATCCTCACTATGGAGGACAAAAGAGAGGCTCTTTGAACATAAATAGACCTGCAAAAAAGATCCTGGAGGCATTTGATTAGGCTGCATTCCTGTTATTCCGTAGCTTTTGAACTCTGTAACTTTTAAAAAATGAATATATCTTTCATGCATTGTAGAGAAGTGTTCAAAAAGTATACAATACTTTCAGAAGTATGTTCCGGTCAAGCTCTGGCACTTACGAAGAGCCTTGGGACGAGTGAGCAAAAAGGCACTTTTTGTAATGTCTATAATTAACATATGTACTGTAACTAATTATCTTCATTTAGAGGCTCAGCAAATACGTTTAAGTAATTTAATTACACTTCAATTGAGTATTTTATATTAAAATGTTTAATTATTAATATAATGCATTAACATTAATGCATTAACATTGTTCTGTCCAGGCTGGACTATTGCAGTGCTCTCTTGGCAGGTCTTCCAGCCAGTTCTATCAAACCTTTACAATTAATCCAGAACACGGCAGCAAGATTAATTTTTAATGAGCCAACAAGAATGCACGTCACACCTATGTTGAGCAATTTGCACTGGCTACCAATATCTGCTTACATAAAATTCAAGGCATTGATGTTTGCCTACAAAACCACCACTGGCTCTGCACCCCTTTACCTAAATTCATTACTTCAGAGTTATGTGCCCTCTAGAAGCTTGCATTCTGCAAGTGAACGTCACTTTATTGTGCCATCCCAAAGAGGCACAAAATCACTTTCACGGACTTTTAAATTAAATGTTCCCTCCTGGTGGAATGACCTGCCTAATTCAACCTGAGCAAGAATCGGCTAAAAACACATCTCTTCCATCTTTATTTAACCCTCTAACTCTAGCACTCTCTATTCTAATTCTATTCTTAAAAAAAAAAACTTGTCCCTTTTAGACTTACACTCTATTCATCTACTGCTTGTATTCTTAAAAAAAAAATAAAATAAATAAATAAAACTAACACTAGCTTTTCTAATCTTTTTGTATTCTATCTATTTGTTTTCTTTTTATTTATTATACAATTACCAAAAGCAAAAAAAGGCCTCTACCAGCTCTATGCTCTATTCTTTTTCTATTCTATCTGTTTTCTTTTTATTTATTATATAATTAAAAAAAAAATGTGTACTGCTTTAAGCTAACTGAGACTTGTCATAGCGCTTGTATATCATTGCTCTTTTGTTGATTTTGATTGCTTCCATTGTCCTCATTTGTAAGTCGCTTTGGATAAAAGCATATGCTAAATGACTAAATGTAAATATAACATTAATTTGTTTACATTTAAATTTAATTTGGAATCATCTGACAGCTCTAATTAAGATAAATGTACCGCATAATGCAAATTACCATTATAGGTTCTTGTTAATGACAATAAAAAGGGGTACAACTATCCTAAATGGTCTAGAGCTCACCAGGATTTGCAGAGTGCTCTTCAAAAATCACCTTAACTATCTTGCTCACTCTTTTAACACTGCTGAAACCAAACGGTGAAGAACATTTTGTTCAAATATAAAAACACGGTACTCACCTTTGTTGATGTTGATGCTGACGCTCCCTGGTCCAGAGAGAGGCTATGAGAGAGAGGTAAACATGGAGAAATCAATACCATATACATGCTCTACAACCTCCTCAAACATCCACAAATAGATGCAGAATCATACAGAGACATTGACACACTGCCATGTATGAAAGTGATCTAGTTTCTGGTTCTAGATTTAGGCATTTGATCAGGTCTAGATGCTTTTCTCAGGTCTAAGGGGATATTATGGTCCATCGCTTTGGACTGCCAATGTTTTGATAAAATACAATCCCATTTAATAGTTTGAGGTTATTACATTTTTTTTAAAGAAATGAATTAGAAATTTTATTCAGGAAGAAGCATTACAGGCATTACAATGATTAAAAACATTATATTGACAATAAAACTTTTAAACATTTCTATTTGAAATGCTGTTCTTTGAAATGTTCTATTAATCAAAGAATCCTGAAAGAAAAAATGTATTACAGTTTCCACAAAAATATTAAGCAGCACAACTATTTTCAACATTGACAATAATAAAAAAATGTTTCTTGAGCACCAAATAAGCATATTAGAATGATTTCTGTAAGATTTAGTGACTCTAAAGACTGGAGTAATGGCTGCTGAATAAATTAAAATATATTTTCTATGTTTTAAAATACATTAAAACAGAAAAGAGTTATTTAAATTTGTTTTTGCTGTTGTTTTTTTTTCTCAAATAAATGCAGCCTTGATGAGCATACAAGACTTCATTCAAAAACCATAAAAAAATTCGACCCTAAACTTTCGAAGGGTGGAGTTAAATTCTCATATATTCCTATATATTACATCATCACAGCTGAATGGCCAATCGCTGCATTCTCTGGTCAAAATCATTTGTATAATGATCACTAAACTGTATAACTGAAGATTGTGACAACAGCTTTCCCACATAGCTGTGCTTCACGTCTCTCGTATTATTCCGCAACTGTTTTGCAGTCATATCAAGAACAGCTATTTATCAAATTGTCAATTTGGTCAGTAACAATGATAGGTACAAACACTTCCCTGTACCAGTTCTCTCCTTGGCTTTGACTTGAGCTTGTACCCCAGACCACCAGGAGCTTGATAATCAGCTTTTTTTTTTTTTATAAAATGCCACCTTGCATTTTTCCCATGGCATGACAGCAGAGCACTCGGCTCACCTCATCAGCTAACCTCCATTAAAGAGAAGGTCCAGAGAACTGGCACAAGACACACCTGAGCTGCTTTATTATCCCGTTAGTGTGCTGTGCACACACTCACAGGTTCATATTCTCCAACAACAGACCGTGAAAGACCAGCAGTGTCTGGAATAATCCCATGAACAGACTCCTTAATTTACAGTCCTCCAAATGCGAGCGGCCAGGGGGTTTGGAAAGAAGCTGAATTAAATAATTAAAACGCAGCTATTGTTTAATCTGCTCTTAAAACAGTAAATTAAACTAAGCCTGGAAGCTTCACCTCAGTCCTAATTAAATTACTGTGTCTGAACTGTACAGTACATTTTTATTTTATTAAACAAGAACATTAAGTCGCAGCACCAAGGCATGACTTGGGCTGTATTTAAGAACAAATGAACAAATCAGCATACTATTTGTCTTAGGTGAAATATTAGTATTGCTTAATGTACAATAGAAGGTGCTAGAATTTTAGATACTTCTAGAAATGTATATTTGGCAAAAGTTTACTTAAAATATGTACGGTACTGATATTTTTGTGCTTTCATACTTCATCCCTGCTGGATGTTGGACACCAACAAAACTGTCAGTAAATGACATGGCATGAGTTGGTTAATCTAGTTAATGACCTTGGATATAATTTTTTTTTTTACACTGCACCGTTAAAGGAATAGTTCACTCAAAATGAACATTTCCTGAAAATGTATTCATCTGTAGGTCATCCAAGATGTAGAGGAGTTTGTTTCTTCGTCGGAAAAGGTTTGGAAGGTTTAGAAATTTAGCATTACATCGTTTGCTCACTAAAGAATCCTCTGCAGTGAATGGGTGCCGTCAGAATGAGACACCAAACAGCTGATAAAACCATCACAATAATCCACAAGTAATCCACATGAATCCAGTCCATCAATTAACATCTTGTGAAGTGAAAAGCTGCATGTTTGTAATAAACATATCCATCATAAAGACATTTCTAACTTCAAACCGTTACTTCTGGCCAAAAAAATGAGTTGTCTATCCAAAATAGTTATCTCATTTTAATCAGGAGAGAAGCACTTTCTACAAGCAAAACCAGTTCTAAATAAATATGTTGGTGGATTCTGATGTGGGAGACCAACAGGTATGGACTTTTTCACTGGAAAAAGCATTATTACGGATTATGGACTATTTTGGCCAGAAGTTAAGTTTAAAGAAAACGCCATAATGGTGCGGTTGTTTCTTACAAATATGCAGCTTTTGGTACACAAGATGTTAATTGATGGACTGGAGTGGTGTGGATTACTTGTGGAAATATTGTGATGTTTTTTTATCAGTTGTTTGGACTCTCATTCTGACGGCACCCATTCACTGCAGTGGATCCTTAGGTGAGCAAGTGATGTAATGCTAAAATTCTCTAAATCTGTTCTGATGAAAAAACAACAACTTAACAACATCTTGGATGGCCTGAGGGTAAGCAATGCAGTCTGACAAATCAGACTTAGCAAAGCAAAAATGATCTTGCAACATTTTTCAGCCTTTTGGCTGATATATATTAAAAAACACTGATTCATTCAGGAACGAAACCTGTTACTAGCTTTCCCATCTATGCACATGACTCCTTTATCTCTCTCACTTTCCTTGTTTCCTCACATTCCCATCACCTCGTCACTCACCCCGTGACACTGCTGCTGGCTGAGCTGTCTGTAATCTGCGAGCTTGTGATCCACTTTGTCTCGCCCACTACGGTGCGGGCATGCGGCAGTCGCCCAACATCCTTCACTGTCATCATCAGGTGGTGTGAAGACTTCAGCACTCGTACGGCCTCATCGTGTGGGATGCTGAGGAAACTCCGGCCATTAACCTCCAGGATCTGATCGCCGACCTGTGGAAATGATGGAGCAGAGAGAGGAGAAGGTGGGTGGGCTGGTGGTGGCAGAGCAGGGCAGGAGGTAAAGGGGGGTTGTGATGAGGCCGGAGATGGAGCAGTCTGGACATCCAGAGGTCGATATGGGAGAGTGGTGTGGTCAGGTTAAATTTGTGGAACAGCAGAGAAGGTTTTGATCAGATAAACAGAAAGTCAAAATTATGACGACTTACTGAAAGGAACGCACCCATAGACAAACACATTTTAAATATTCATGCCCACCTTATAAATAGAATTTAAAAAGAGCACAAGTAAAATACACTTGCACAAAATATGCCTCCTCCAAAATAATAGCTGATTCTGCACGGCACATATAGCCTAAATTTCCAAATGCTTTTCCAAATTCCATTCCGTTTTGTTTTTGTTCATTAAAACTACTGAAAAAAATTTATTTTCATTGACTGAAATAAAGCTAAAATATTATTTGATAGAATATTATTTTGCAAATATGATTTATTCTGAAGCAATATTCTCATCAGTTTTCTATCAGCTGTGACATATATATCTGCACGTTTTTATATTTTATCCAAAGGCATTTTCTTTTACCTATATAGAGGGCATTTTCCCACTAATCTCATTATACTTTCATTTCAAATTTTTACATTTGATCTATAAATTCAGTTATAATAATGATTGTTATTATCTATAAGTTATCAAAGTAAATAATTTATACTGAATTAAATAATATTATGAGATTCTTTTAAATATTTATTTTTTAATATACAAACAAGAAATGATGGTGGAAATGATACTTTTCAATTAAATGAAAACGCCAGTAGATGCCTAAAAGTGACCTAATATTATTGTATTTGCTTATTGAACTGTTTATACAACTATTAAACAGTTGTAATGTTGAAAATGTTGTGTGACGTTGCCTAACTAACTGTATTTTAAATGTAAAAAATTTCCATTTTGAATTTTTACCTCAGTATGCTGCGTTTCTTAGGGTTGCACGTTTTGATTTCTCCTGGAGAGGCTGCGTGAGCCTCGCCTCAGCAGCGCATCCTTATTCCGTCAATAGATGCATTATATACAGTAGCTATATCCACTATTCGCCACTTAGTCTAAATGTAATAAAATCAGAATAATACTTGCATTTTGGTGTTTACATAGTTATTTTTGGTTACTTGTCTGTCGTTAATGAAGGGTTAATGTCGAGCCCTGGAGTCTATGTGCCGGGGACGGCCCCGGCCTAATTTAAACCCTGCAAATAATACTAAAATATAGTTTTTTCCCCAAGGACCCCAAACATCATGCTCCTTGCAAAGGCCCCTTCCTAAAATATAGAGTAGCTAAATATTTTCATGTCAAATAAATAAACAAACAAACAAATAAATAAATAATATGAAAAAGGCAATATTTGGCTTCAACAAAAATATCTGATTTATAAAGGACAGAACGATTACAAAATATCAGCAAAAAAAACAAAAAACACTCATGATATCTCATGACATCATAATCTCATGATATACTGTACCAGCCTTTAGAGAGCAGAATGAAAAATTAAATGGTAAGAATGTAAATAATTTTTTTAAACATTGCATGAAACATTTACTCAATTTAATCTTAACATATTAACATTATAATATACTATTCTTAAAAAACACATTGTAATATCATTTAAATCTTTTTTTCTCTCAAATTACATTACATTTAAATACATCTACTGCGTGGTTTTCCTTGCCTTTAACCTGCAAACTGTGGTTTTCCTTGCCTTTAACCTGCAAACTGAATAAAAATACTGGACAAAAAAAAAAGAAAAAGAAAGAGAACATTTTGCCTCCTTATTTCAGTCCACCACATGCCACTGAAAAAGATTCAGTTTAGATGGCAAAGCATGTAGTCCTGCTTTTACTGTAAATGGAATACGTCTTAAATCAATCGCTTCATTTCTCAGTATTGGATGAGAAACTGAAGAGATGTCAAAAAAGAGACATGCTGTAGTTTTAGTGCTACAAACATGGTACATTTCATCTGGATGATTCTGACAGTCTCCTCATCTCATCCATTCATCCTCCCACTCGTTATCTTTTCCCCATGCTCCTTCTGCTTGTCACTCATTTATCTCACTCATTGTTTCTTCTTTTGTCAGTCCGGCTCTGAGTAAAATATTTCTATTTTGAAGCTCCTACTCTGGGATTAACTCGTCACAACAGCAAACTGGCTCCATTTCTCTTTATCTTGCTCTTGTTCTGTTTTCATCACTATCTCTCCGTTTTATCCCAGCTCTCTTTATGGATCAATACCGGCCTGCCCCTCTGCCCGCCCAAAGATGCTTGAGGGTAATTAAAGAGGCTTTGCAGTAGTCATGATATTAATAAATTATGGTGTTGATCAATTTGGACGCAATACAGCTTTGTTTTTCCAAAGAACACAAGAGATGTATTTGAAATCGATGCGGCAGATACAAGGCTCTTGCTTTCCCTAGCGAAACAGCCGATCATTAGCTCAGGTTTATCTCCCGGCATTTCTTTTCAGTGTATCACTCCAGAGTGTTCAAACGCTGTGAGACACCAGGTTATTACAGGAAACACATCAAACCACTGAGGAATGTGAGAGAGAACTCTTGAAAAGATTTTAAAGGAATAGATCACCAAAAAATTAAAGTCGTTCTAAACCTCTATGACTTCAAAACAGCCAAAAAGAGAAATTTTCAAAAATGTCCAAGCTGCTTTTTTCCAAAAAAAGTGCTATAAATGGCTATAAAACTTTTTTCTGTAAGTCAAAACGAGAAATTATCAAAAATGTCCATGCTGCTTTTTAAAAAAAAACAAAAACAAAAACAAACAAAAACAAAACAAAACAAAATAAAACACAGTGCTATAAATGGCAAAAATAGCATCATAAAAGTATTGCACATATTTAAACTTGACTATAGAAGACCTGAAATATAGTGCACAAGTACTATGGACCATTGTTGTTAACTAAACCCAAACTTAAAACTATTAAAAACTGTTGCCAGTAATTGAAATAAAGCTGAAATTAAATTAAATATAAATATCAGGAAAAAAAAGAGAAAACTTAGAAATGCTGGCTGGCCAACTAACTCAAATAAATAAGTTGAAGTTGAAGTACTAAAACTACTAAAGCCCTAAAAAATCTCAAATAAAAATAAAATAAAGAATAAAATATACTAAATAGCTAATAAAAAAGAAATATATAACTATATATGTTTTTAAAAACTAATAAAACTAAAAGCAAAAGCACCTAAACCTCAAACAAAAATTACAATGAAAAATAAACTAAAATAACAACTAAAGTTATTGCATGATCAAGAACTGTAATCTAGATGTAATCCAAGTTGATTTAGACTTAGCACCTGTGTGTGTGTGTGTGTGTGTGTGTGTGTGTATGTATATGTATATACATCATCTGTCCTGACCTCTCATGACTTGGAATCATGTGGGGAGTATAATCATGACAGGATGAAGATGAATAATCCTCATGTTAACATTGCAGTTCAGCCTCTCCTCTCTCTCTCGCTCTTCTTTTCTTTCACATCACTCCATCATTTTTTCCCTTTAACTGCATTTTGCACTCCCTGTCAGTGAAGGAACGACAGCATTTTGTAGCTGCGAAGCAACCGGCAGTCATTCGTTTTCAACAAGCAATGTCGATTTTTAACAACATGAGAGACAACTTAATGCAAATGAGCAGCGCCGTGATGCTGCGACTACCAATGGGAGTACAGACAGTCGACTAAAAAGTTGAGCAGTCGACAAGAAGCCAACAGCGAAGACTGGGAGGCCTCCAGAGATTTCACTGCTGTCAGTGCAAATGCCCTTGAGAGTGAATGAGGAAAGTGCTTGGCATTTGGAAGAACGCCTGCCCCGACCACGGCAAGCCTGACATTTCTCTCTTTCCTGATGGAGGAGGAAGAAAATGATGGAAGAGAAGACGGATGAGAAATCGGCTTGGCTGCTAGTTTTCCCCAAATGGCTCCAATATCCGGACAGCAATCAGAAACAGTGGCTAATGCACAAATCCAGGTCTGTGAGAGGAATAACATCTGCTCTACTGTTACATCAAACGTCAGAGCATAGTGCATCACTCATTCTTCATTTAGCAAAGTAGTTTAGAGGTTGCAGCTGTAAGCCAAATACAAGACTATAAATTTCTATCTTTACACACTCACTTTGTCACCTGCAAGGTTGCTGTTGTGCATTTAAGTTTGTTATTTTAATACTAGTTTCAAAAGAACTTTAAATTGCTTTAGATGCCCCATCCCTTCATTCATTCATCATTGTACTTAATGGCTGTTTAAGACTTATGGCTACACCAAGAGTACTTAAAGTTTGAGTATTACTAACTCACAGTGACAGGAGCAGCCATGCAGACAGACCCACCCAGAGTCCAGACACTTCTTCCGTGAAACTACCGTATTTGTTAATCACACAGAGGCGTGACCATTTCAAAATAGATTACAAATGTGCAAAAGTAGTCACGTTCACAGTCTAAAAGGCTTTTATTAGTCCGGAGGGATTTTTCTTATGATGAACAGCCTCCTCCTCTGAAAGACTGCCTATGGGTATCAGTCTGTGGATATGGCTATATGCTTTCTGGTTAAGGTAGAAAAAGATCAAAAGAGCTGAAAACTTGCAACTGGAAATGTCCCTAAATATCACAGTGAAAGTGTACGATTCCCCTGAGTAAATGTTTCCACAGCAAATGACTTTCTTCTCAACTCCTCAAGGACCAAAGTGAATTGGCTTAATGTGACGCAGGGTGGACAGCTGAATAGAGAGGGAACCGGCACTCAATATGACTGATAAGAATCATGACAGCTTTAAAAAGTATGAGCTATAAAATATTATTAAGGTGGAAAGCACGTTGGGCAAAGGTGAAGGGACATCTGACTGCAGATCACAGACATTCAAGCAATTCTGTGTGTCATTTGCAAGTACAAGAAAGCACTACTTTATAAGAGTCTCTATGGTTTTGTGATTATTTTCAAGGAA